AAGGCGTTTGCCTATATTTCCTTCAATAAATTTGACTTGACTTTGACTTGATTCTCAAATGGTGAAGGTGACGTTGGTGTGGAACATTGTTACAGACCTTATGGAAACCAATGAAGGCCGCATACACGGTGCCTTTTGCACAAAGGACTCTTGTTCAGCTTTGGATCGTGTAAAGTAAGTTCGTTACAAACGATCTTCTCCTAAGAAAACCGCACTGTGCATTAGACAAGAGATTGCAGTTTTCCAAACAAGTCAACAATTACTTTTTGATCAACTTCTCCATAAGAGAGCAGCATATAGAGGTCAGAGTGACAAATTTGTGGTTATTCGCAAGTGCAAAGCTACCACTTCTCTTAAGCGGTACCATGTGAATTGTTTTCCAGTCAGTGGGAAGACTTCCAGTATGGAAGGATTGTTGTGCTATAATGGAAATAGTTGGGGTAGCTCTTTAGCAAGTTCGGAGAGCAGCTTTGCTGAAATCGCACCCAGATCTGGAGATTTACAGTGCTTTACGCTTTCAAGTTGCCCAAAAATCATTTCATATCGAAACAAAACATGTTGAATAATTTGCACTTACATGGTCTCGTCGCAGGATGAAAGGAACGCCATTTCTGCAGTGAAAAGCGACCAAAAGAACTAAGAAAAATGCTCGGCTTTGCTTGTACTGTCCTGTACGTCGAATTCTTCCCTATTATTTAAAACAGGAATGGGGTTCCGGTTATGTGTGCTCTTTCGTAAGTAGCTGTAAACATGCGCGGACTTGTAGTGTATATACATATAGTAAAATCGACATTCACATCGACACAATGTAGTTTAAAAGGGAAATCTTAAATAAATTACAAATTCTACAGAAGGCAGATATTGTATACTGGTATAGGCGAGCAAAACGAGGCCTACCCGGATCCTCTGTGAGACTATGGTAACGGACATAAATTTACAGAAAATAGCTGCTCTGGATTTTAATACGAAATTGTAAACCTCAAGCGCAACTAATGCTCAGTTTAAGATTGCTAAACCTGACGAAAATAGGTGATTATTGTTCTAATAACAGACAATCCCAGGATTTTTGGGGTCAATGCCAAGCCCTGATTAAGGTCCAGCGAATTTTAATGTAAATAAGGGAGCAGATACAAATAATTTGCTTAAGATGCGTTCTTCCGCGTATTATTGCTGAACATTTTTGCTGTTGTGTAAAGAGACAAAATTCAGTTTGCGCCATACCGGGAGTTGCTCCCAAATCCGACGGCATTATTTGTTTGTTTGCATAAATAGGCTTAAAATAATAAATACCGGTTATTTGTATGCTTTTCCCCACATGAATGTCCTAATATTTTTATTTATCGGATTCCTGCTGAAGTGTATGAGCCCAGTTTAAAAGTTGAAGACTTTCTTTAGGCACCCATAGCGCAAATTTTATCCCTCAAATTATTGACAAAATCAATGTAGAGGTTGTACAAGAGAAGAACACGGGTTACTTGAATTGCACAATGGTTTTGGACGAATCCCAATTAAATGTGAGTGTAAATCAGATTATATGTAAGATAGAAATGTTGTTTTCAATGATATATCTCGTTTTGAATAGCTAAAATTGTGCTACAATACGTAATCGCAGAATTTTCACATGCATAATGCGCATTTTATGAAAAATGCAAATATATATGATTTCGTCCCTGTTTAAAGAACTGATTAGAAATTCTAGTAACTAAGCAGTATTTTAATGCAATAAATTGGAAGATATATGTATACGTCCACGCTATATGAAATATTATAACCCAAATCCCTCAATCTTTTCACGAGTGCGGGAAGTGTTTTAGAGAAACATTGAGCTTCCGGCTGCTACCTAAATTCAAGACCATTTTATGCGTCCCAAACTTATAAAAACTCCAAAAATGAACAATTAGGCAAATATAAACGTGCCTTCTCCGCCAAATTGAGATAAGCCAGCGATATTAATCTACCGATGGAGGCTAGTGGTGGCGTACCCCAAGGGTCGGTGTTGGGTCCCAGACTATTTTCTATGTACGTTGCGGATATCACCTCCAGACTTTCATCCTCATGACTTCTGTTTTTGGACGACCTCAAGGTATGGCGTCTTATATGCAGCCCCGAAGACAAAATGACTTTCCAAAATGATTTTAATGCGATCCACGAATGGTCATTGGAGATCAAGATACCGGCCAAATTGAACAAATCACACTTGCTGAAAATTGAGAGAAACCAGGACCATCCATTCTATACAGTGGGCAACATGACACTGGCCGCTGTTAGGAGTACGCGTGACTTGGGCGTTTTCATTCAAGATGACTTCAAAACCCGAGAACAATCAACTCTGGCGAGACGCAAGGGTCTGGCACAACTTTGGATGTTAAAAAGAGCATTCAGGTCCTGGTCCATGCAGTTATTCCGTAAGCTTATGGTTACGTTCATCAGCTTGATCATGGAGTATGGATTGTCCGCTTGGTTTCCGCGTACGAAGGGCGAGATGACCGATATCGAACATTTGCAAGGGGTGGGGCAAAGAATGGTGCCCGAAGTGAGGAGGTTGACATATCCGGAGCACTGTAAAGCATTGGATCTGTTTACCCCGAATTTAGACGCTCCAGAGGCGATCAACTCATGATGTACAAAGTGACCGTTTGCGATGAAATTCCGTAGATCGCACAGTACTTCAAACTGGCCGTTGATATGCCTATGCGCGGACACTGCTTCAAACTGGCGGTACAACGG